CTTTCATGAGGAGGCTGGCAGCTCTGGTTGGAAGAATATCAGCTTCTAGCCTGTCTTGAGGCCTCGGTGACCCTCTTGCAACGATGCCTGTAGCACGGATACTGAGCACTGCCTGGAAAAGCAGCTCTTGCTGGGCTCCAGGGGGGATCCCAGCTCCTAGAATAACAGACTCAGAAAACGAGGATTGAAGGGACCTCAGGGGGTCACATCTAGTCCAACCCCCTGCTCCAAGCAGGACCAGCCCTAACTACATCATCCCAGACAAGGCTTTGTCTACCCTAGTCTTCAAAACCTCCAAGGATGGAGACTCCACCACCTCTCTGGGGAGCCGGTCCCAGGGCTTCACCACCCTCCTGGCAAGAGTTTTTCCTAATATTCAACCTCAACTTCCCTTGCTGCATCTTGGGCCCATTGCTCCTTCTGTCGTCCGTCCCCACTGAGACCAGTCCAGCTCCAACCTCTTTGCAGCCCCCCTGCAGGGAGGTGAAGGCTGCTATTCAATCCCCCTCGGTCTTCTCCTCTCCAGACTCAATCAGCCCATCTCCCTCAACCTCATCTCACAAGACATGTCCCACAACCATTTTCGTTGCCCTCCACTGGACTCTCCCCAACGTGTCCACATCCTTTCTGTAGTGGGGGACCACAGCTGGACACAGGACTCCAGATGTGACCTCCCCAGTGCTGAATAGAGGGGAGGAATCATTGCCCTCGATCTGCTGGCAACGCTCCCCCCGATGCAGCCCAGGATGCCGGTAGCCTGGTTCAGCCTGCTCCAGAGCGCACGTCTAATCAGCTTACAGTCAGTTTTAATTATCTGCTGCTCAGCCTCCCAGTGCCAAGATCTTCTGATGTCTCTTGCTGTTTTGCAGCCAGGAACCATCCCAGAGCAAAGCATCTCTCGGGCCTCTGGAGCGGGATGGATCTGGGGTTTATGGAGATAAACGTGCCTCTGATGGATAACATCTGAGCTTTAAATCAGAGGGCAGGGCACAAAATGGGCTGCAACTCCTGCCTGACCCAACTCGGTCAAAACAAAGAATTTTAGGGCGTGGGGACAGAAAGCAATTTGGGTTTGGTTGCTGGTTGGATATCCAGGTGCAGAGATGCAAAGGTAACTGAGAACTGTGTGCAAGCCCAATGGAAAAAAAAAGAGGCCCCTAGGGAACACCAGATACCTCTTCTACACGTGTCTCATGTGTAGCTCCCAAAATGGAGACCGGTCTCCATCTCTTCCCCTCCCAGGGATAAAGTACATGCTTCCCCCTGCCAGCTATGAGCCCTGTCCAGGCCAAACAGCCCCTCTGGGATCAGCACAGTGGGAAGGGACACAGCTGCACCAGTCTAGGAGCTGCGCTGCAGAGGATCTGGGCCGCCTCCTTCCTCTGCTCCCTCTCTGCTGGGAGGGAGAGCAAGACACACGCTTATGTCAGGGTGCAACTCGTTATCCCTTGTGTCTGTGCCACTGTTAGTGCCAACTGGGGCAGCACGGGAGCAGGAAATACCCCCTCTGTTATCCCCACAAAGGGCCCTGCCTCGCCCCAAGGTATGTCTTCGGCACTCAGCCACGCTCCCGTGGCCGGCCAGGCTGCATCCCGTACGCCCCTACGGGTGCCAGTCCCTTACCTTTCATTTTCACCAGAGCCTGCTGCTGCACTTCTCCTTTGCTGTTCCTGGCATGGCAGATGTAGTTGCGCTTCAAATCCTCCGGCGTGACCTTTGCAATCGTCAGCATCCTCACAGTGTCCTTGTCGCCGAAGAGCTGGGCAATCTCGCTGGGAAAACAAAAGGGTTAGCATGCAGAAGCCCAGTGATGTGCATGCGATTTGTTGCTATTCACTTTAGACTTCTCCTTTATTTTTGGCAAAACAAAAGACAATTAACAGATCAGTTGTTCGTCGCTGGTAGCAGATCAGGAGTTTTGCACTGAAGGTCAATGCTCAGCACTGCATGGGGTAGCTGGTCCTTGGGCAACTTCTGCCAAGTTTTACTTGTTTTCTGCTGCCTGATTGTTGGCTGTGTGTCACAGGAGATTTGAGAGAGGAGATTTCTCCAATCACTTGGGTTTCCTAAACTCCGAGTCTAACTTCTGCCTCTGCTTCCAAAGTCCTGTGTGACTTTGGAAACACTGCTTCATCCTTCTGTGCCTGGGTGGTAAAGCGGGGGTGATGATCTCTCTCCTTTCTCCCCCACGTGGCCATGTCTATTTGCAACCTGCTCAGGGCAGGGGCTTTCTCTTACTTGGTGCTTTGCAGCCCTTTGCCCAAAAAGGACCCACTCTTCCCCAGGACCCTTCTGTGAGATGGCACTATACTTTCCACAAGACGTGCGACAGCAGTACAAGGTAGTGCAGCAAGTCAGAGGACCGGGTCGGGCTGGAAGGGACCTCACAAGGTCACGTCTGGTCCAGGCTCCTGCTCAAGGCAAGAGCATCCCAGACTAAACCAGCCCGGCCACGTGACTGTCCAACCTGCTCTTGAACATTTCCAAGGTTGGAGAGCCCACAGCTTCTGCCCCAGTGCTCGACCACCCTCCTGGTCAGACAGTCCCTCCTCCTCTCCAGCCTGAATTTCCCCTGCTGCAGTTTGAGGCACTGCTCCTTGACCTGTCCCTTGCAGCCACGGAGAAAAGCCCATCTCCCTCCTCTCTATAATTGCCCTTTAGCTATTTGAAGACTGTTTTAAATCCCCTCCCTCCCCCAGTCTTCTCTTCTCCAGATTAAATAACTCGAGCTCTTTCAGCCTTTCCACATCCGTTACGCTTCTCAAGGCCCCTAATAAATTTTGTGTTGCTCTGCACTGGGCTCTTTCCAATCTGTCCACATCCTCCTTGAAGTGTGGATGCAATACTCCAGGTAGGGCCTTGCCAGGGCTAAACAGAGAAGAATCACTTCCCTTGATTTGCATGCGACACTCCTGATTAACACAACCCAGGACTGAATTGGGTTGGTTTTGGGGTTTTTTTGCAACAAGCACTATTTGCTCATACTGAGTGTACAGTCTCCTGTAACCCTCAGGCCCTTCTCTGCAGTACTGGGCAGGGTGAGGAGATCTCACATCCTCCTGCTCCAAAACCAGCTGCTTGCATCACAGGAGAACCTCCCTTATGCATTGACAGTACAGGGCCTATGACACAGAGAAGAGCCGTTCCATTGTTATCCATTGTGGTTCGCAGTCTGTGGTACGGGTACCACCAGTGGTACACAGACAACCCGTCAGCGGTACGCATTAACAGATTGATTATAATTACTTTATGTGACAAAAACTTCCTGGTGGTACTTAAGATTGAACTGAAAAATTTTCTGGTGGTGCTTTCAGGCCATATCATTTTAAATGGGTGGTGCACAGTCTGTCAGAGTTTGGGGACTGCTGCATGAGAGGGCAGCTATAGAAAGGCATCAGTTCACTTAAGAGTTGCTTTTCAACCCTAAATAACTTCTTTTTGAGGCTTGGGCTGAGGGCCGTTTGAAATGGCCAATAGCCAGAAAATAATGCAGCTCCCTGGGGCTGTCACTAGCCCACATCCTGATCAGCTATTAGCAAAGGGAGCTCTGGCTGATGCCCAGAGGGGCTGTGCTGGTGGAGACCTGCATCCATGGTCCAGCCGTGGGATAATTAGGAGAGGATGCAGACAGCAGACGTCCGACTTGCAAATCGTTACCTTTGAGTGACTTTTACCCGTGGGTCCGTGATGTCGTCCGTGTTTTTCCCATCGATGGTCCACCACACCTCGGTGCGGGAGTCCTTCAGGAAAGTGAAGTAGACCTGACAGGGCAGAACAAGATCTTCCCCTAGGACAGAAGGTTGCCAGTGAAATGCAGCCCCTCCAGCCTTCATTCTCCCTCCCCATTGGGAAGGGACCGAACACAACACCCGAGGTCCTGGAAGCACGAAACAATACGGCCCCTTCCCTTCACCGCCAGCTACATGGGAGAAACGTGTGACCGACAGGTCCGTGACTGCTTCCTGTGAGCCTGAGTGACCTACGCACGTGAAGACACATTTGCTCTCCGCTCTCTCGTGAGGTGGGGAAATGCTGCTAGATCCATTTTACAAACGTGAAGACTGAGATTTGCCTAAGATTGCCCAGGAAGTCTGGGGGAGAAGCAGGACCTGATTGCAGACCTCTTAAACAGTGCATTAAATATAAGGTTATTCTCAATGCAGCAGTGGCCAAACACACCGTGCCAGGCACTGCATGAACACAGACTACCCAGCGGTCCCTGCCCTGAAGAGCTGACTGTCTGCACAGACGAGGGGTTGCTCTGCGGGGTGCATTAGCAATGTGACAATGCGCAGGCCGGGAAGAGCAGGTTAGATCCATGCTTTACTGGGAGGGGAAGGGGGCCAGCTAAATGGGAACTGGAGGGGATGGGAAGGAGGCAGAGGATGGGCTTAGTTCCCCCCCATTAAACCTCCCTACGGGTGACACTTCTAGCTCCATCTGCTTCTGCAGCTGCTCCCAGGTCCCAAAGCACGGGACAGACGATGCACAGTCCCCATGAGCACAGAGAAGGAACATGGACAGGAGCACCGGGCATGCAGGTTCATTGCGCCGCTTAAACAAGACCTTCCCCGTCCCGGCAGACACCCCCACATGGCACAGGAGAGAGCGGTGAATTACCTGGTTCCAGCTTGTAGACGACTTTCTCGTTGGGAGAGGTGAACTGTGGCGGCAATGCCTTGTTTGGAGACCCTGCAGGAGAGGAAAGTGGGATCCCTCCTGAGCTGAGAACGAGATCTGGCTTCGTTGGGGCCATTGCACGGACTAATGCTAACTCGCCACAGCCCCCGAACAACTCTAGTGTGCGGCTGCAGGAGCCTGTCTTGCAGCGCTGCTGCTGTGAGCGGCACGAGCAACATCAAGGGCAGAATTCAATCTAGGCAGACTGCAAAGATGCTGGTTTCTTCTGAAAACCCCTACATTGTGCCATGTCTGGAGAGAGACTCTGGGCTCATCTACACTCTCCCGTCCCCCCCGGGCATCTCTGATACCACCCCCAGGTCAGCCTAGAAGCCAGACTCTTCTCCTGGCCCTACAGCAAGCTGTTTGCTCCTGCCTGAAATTATTCTTCCTCCTTGTGTATTCAGTGCATAGCTATTGCCACATGACCAGGGCATGCTCTAGCATTCACCAGGCAGATAAGGGTCTTTGGGTAAGTCCGACATTTTTTTATTATATCAACTAAATAATAAATTAGACCAAAAACTTTTGCTTGGTCTAATAAAAGACACTGGATTTCACCAAAGAACCTTGTCTACCTATGTCCTTAGACCAACACGGATATTACCATTCACCAGGCTTTTAAAGTCCACCAAGAATTTGCTGTCATCAAGACTAAGCTTTTGTGGCTTAGTCTTCAGACCGGGGCAGCTCTAAAGAAGAACCAGCCCAGCCCTATGACCTGGCCACCTTCATCTGCACAGAAAAGCACCTAAAGTTTTAAAACAGGCAGGTGGAAACTTCCAAAACCCACGAGGAAACTTTGAAGCTCTTTCTAAAAGGCTGTCAACACCACTACACACTTTCTGCTGATGGGTTGTGGTTCCCATGTACCACCCCAGGCCACCCCATCCTGTGATGCTTTGGGTATCCATACACCAGGAGATGCAGAGCCCATTGAACACACACAGGCCACATCCTGGTGTCTGGGGGAGTTGTCTTAGTTGGCCCCCGGATCCTTCCCCATCTCCTGCCTCGGTTTCCCCTCCTTACCCACCACCTTCATCCGCACGGTTCGGGTGAGGTTGTAGGCCCTTCCGTTCTCCTGGAAGGTCACGATGCAGGTGTAGTCTCCCTTGAAGGTGTCGCGGATGATGCCGAAGGTGAGGTTGGGCCCGTGAGGATAGATGTCGTAGAAGTCCTTCACAAACACGCAGTTCTGGAGGCAGGGAGAGGGAACGCTCAGGTGTGGAAGTAAAATAGCTTCCCCCCTCCATCCCCTCCCTGTAAAACACCGGCACCCGAGGCAGCGATCCACCCAGAAACATGGCGCCAGGACTTGGATTTGGTGCCACGTATGGGTGAGGGTCTGCAGGCCAGAAGGCATGCAGGGAGGGGAAAGGTCTACCCCATGCCTCAGTTTCCCCAGAATAAAACAATGATGTTAATGGAAAATACGACGGAAAGACGTTCAAAGGATGGAGCCACTTGAGTGTGCAACCCCCTTTTAGCTCCCTCCTGAGCATGGGAGAGTAAAAGCTGTCAGGGTGGTTGTCGGTGGCAGGAGAAATAGAGGCATTGCCTTGGTTTTCCCCGTGGTGCAGGCCAGAGAGTCCCTAAAAGCACATGGGCAGCTCCTTCTTGCAAGATGCTCCACCCAGGCAGCATCAACCAGTTCCCTGCTAGCCCTTCAGCCCTGAGAACTGACTGCATTTACATGGATTCAGACAAGAAGCCAAAATCCCTTGCTGTTTGCAACAGCTCCCCAAATCAATGAACAACACAAACCTAACTGCATATTGCTGTGTGCTTCCTGCAGTGCAGGGGGGAAAAAAAAGAGCGGAGGATCAGGTGTGATGCTGCCAAAAAGTCTCCTAGCCCTGGGTTTGCAAAGGCTATGAGGAGTCAATGGCATGATCCTTCCCTTCTGCACTGGGGAGGCCACATCTGGAGTCCTGTGTCCAGTTTTAGGCCCCCCACTACAGAAAGGATGTGGACACATTGCAGGGCAATGAAAATGGTTGTGGGGCTGGGGGACAGGACTGGCGAGGAGAGGCTGAGGGAACTGGGCTGACTGAGTCTGCAGAAGAGAAGACCGAGGGGGATTGAATAGCAGCCTTCACCTCCCTGCAGGGGGGCTGCAAAGAGGACGGAGCTGGACTGGTCTCAGTGGGGGCAGATGGCAGGACAAGGAGCAATGGGCTCAAGCTGCAGCAAGGGTAGGTGAGGCTGGATATTAGGAAAAACTCTCACCGGGGAGTAGCAAAATACTGGAACAAGTTACCCAGAGAGGTGGTGCAATCTCCATCCTTGAAGGTTTTGAAGACCCAGCTAGACAAAGCCTTGTCTGGGATGATGTAGCTGGAAATGGTCCTGCTTGGAGCAGGGGGTTGGACTACATGTGACCTCCCAAAGTCCCTCCCCACTCGCATTTAACATGAGTCTATGAATTTCATCTACTTCAGTCCAGCCACTCATGAACTATCTAACGCGGTGAGCTGGGTGGGCAATGCCCGCTCTGTCCGTGGGTGGGATCCAGCAGGTGGTCCTGATTCAGCATCTGGAATGGGCACGGGCAGGGCTCTTGACCCATGGGTAGAGAGAGAAGCAAAACCAGGATGGGAGAGATCTTCCAAGTGCGTGACAAACTAATCCCCAGGTCCAAGCCCAGATCCTCATCTGCCATTGACGTGTGTGGTTCGTTTGGGAGGACTGGAGCTGCACTGAGTGACTCCTGCCAGGGACCTGGCCCCTGCTGAGCAGCCGAACGAAGGGCATAAATTGCTGAGAAACCTTAATAAGCCTTCCACTCAGTGCAGGTTTCCTGCCTTGCCTGACAATGTGCCAAACGGCTGATCGCTTCTCAGGAAGAGGGTTAGGGCAATGACATCTTGATGGTCATAAAAGCCAAAGATTTGCACATTTTCTCCGAAATTATTTCTGAATGGTGCATTTCCAAGTCAGATTCATCTTATCGTGGCAGTTTAAGGCAGAAGTAATATACCATTCATAATGGTTTTTATAAGGCGCGGGATGACTTGCTGTCTGCACAATGATTTCCATGGGGCTTTTTTGTTTCACTCTGCTAATTGATTGTCGAGATGTGAATTTCAATGGAGGCAATGAGAGAGGCATTTAAACCCACAAAATGAACTGACTTCCCTTTGCTAAAAATGATGGCGTTTCGTGAGAAGAGATGCACTGGCTCCTATTAAGCAGCTGCGCTGCTCCAGTACCTCCCAGCTACACATCTCCTGGCTCTTTGCAAACCCCCAGTGAATTAAGCATCAAAACCCCCTGTAGTAACAAGTCCACGGAGAATTTCTACAGCTCTCTCTTCCCTGTTGCTAACCAGAGCTGCTACAGCCTCGTTTTCTCCTGCAAAATGAGAACCGGCTAGTGAGGGAGCCCGAAGTCAGGGTTTTAAATAATGCATGGTGGTTGCAGATGCCTGACCAGACACCCCAGGAAGATGCCTGATTTTTAGAGCTGGGGCCATGCAGCATTTTCAGAGAATCAGGCCCTACGGGGTTGTCTCCAGCTTGGCAACCACAGGACTGTGATGCGAAGACGCAAGGCTTGAAAACTTGAACATCGCGGCAGTGATTTCTCTGCTGATTTCTAGGGTACAGGATGCAAAGTTTGGTTGTCTTCACTCCCATTTCACAGAAGGGGAGGCCCAGAGTTGGTGAGCCACCAGGGCAGGGCAGCATCTTAGAGACTCACTGGTTTATAAGCAACAGCCGACTTCATCCGATGCTAAGAGAGGAGGAAGCTGATGCCTATAACGAAGCGACTTGCCCAGGAGCATCCGAGTGGCTTTGAGCACATCTAGGAGCTGGACCTCAGTGTCCAGAGTCACCGTCTCTACTGAGTCACTGGAAAGGAGTGGGGAATAACCCCCAATTATGTCCCATTGCAGGTAAGGGGGGTTTTACTACTTGGAGCTAGCTTTCGCTGAAGTTATGTAATTGGGGCTTGACCTCCCAGCTCTTATGCAGCGATGGCTGCGTGCATCACCCTTTCCCATAAGACACAGTCTCTCCCCCAGTCCTAACGCCCCAACCCTTCTTACCTTGTACCACTTGATAGTTGGCTTTGCACTGGGAGGGTAAAACCCATCAATATCTGGGCAAGGGATGATTTCGTGAGCGTGCTCCAAGTAGAACATCTCTTCCATGGGCTTGATGGCATGGCTGATGCAGAAACCCGGGTCTTTCTGAACAACCTCCAAGGGAAACGCGACTTTGCTGCAATAGGTTGTGTTCCTAAAGGGAGAGAAGTGGCCCGGTTGTTAGCTCAGTCTGGTTCACTTATATGCACCGAAGAAAAGCCACAGGTTGGGTCTCAGAAATTCCAGTGCTGAGACGATGCATTCGGCCACATTTTCAGATTTACATGCAGAAAAGAAACCTCAATAATACAGGCAGGAGGCAGACACGGGAGAACTTGCCAACATGACTAATGCACCGAGCCCTCTTTTGTGACTGCAACAACACTTCGCAGGCACCCTGGTGAAAAAAAGAAAGATGCGGACAGCAAGAGAAAGGAGAGACAGAAATCTCCTCCTTGACCCTCTGAGGATGCTCTGCTCCTGCCCTCCTGCATCTTGGGCTGTTTCTCCATTTTCCTGACAACCTTTGAAGCCTCTGGAAGATGGGATGGACTGAGGTCCCTTCCAACCTTAACCGCCTGCTGCAAAGCTTGGCCAAGAGCCCCCCACCCCGAAGCAATACCTTTGCCCCAAACACGTGGCTCATTCCTTAATGGTGCAGGCCTGTGGAGTTTGCTCGGGGTTTCTTCGTGGCCGTTTGCAGCTAGCAATCAGCAACGTGTCCATTAATGCTTTCAAGGTGCCAAGCCTAATTACAATGTAAATGGGCTTGGCGCTGCAAATTCAGATCCCCATTCACTCCGATCACAGCGCCCTTTTCCCTGCATGGAGATGGGAAGCGGACAACACAATTTCCTCCCCATACCTAAGGGACTCTGAGGGTCCTGAAACGCAATGCCCACCACCCTACCTGAGCATGCACGTGTAATTCCCCGTGTCGTTGAGCTGGGCAGGCCGAAACCAAAGGGTGTCCTTCTCCTTGCTGATCCGGCTGTCCGGGAGACGGAAGTTGATGGGCTCCTCCAGGTCCCGATCCTGCCCGATCCAGTACCAGATGAGGGTGAGGCCGGCGGAGTGGGCCGTGCTGTAGTTGAACTTCAAGAAGGTCTCGAAGAGCGGGCATTTGATCCTGGCGGGCTCCCCGTCGTAGAGCTGGATTTGTTTCATGGTGTCCACACCCCAGTCGTCGCAGCGCTCTGCAAGCAGAGAGAACAGGGGGCCCTGACCCTGTGTCTGCTGAGAGCAAAGACCAAAGCATCTAGAGCTGGGTCCTATACAGCTGGGTGGGATACTTTGCCCTATTTGGGATATCAAGAAGCCTGTGCTCCCGAGGCATCGTTTCCTCATCCTCCTCTATCTACCTGCTGTCTCTGCAAGCATTTGGGGGCAGGGGCTCTTGGTTTTGCGTGTACACCGTACCTGGCACAGCGGACTTCTGCTACAGAAATTCAGCTCGGACAGGCAAGGGCATCGTCAATAATAAATAGCAGTGATAAACAGGTGTGTGGAGACCTGCCGAGAGTCTCCCGTAGGCAGGGAAGCTGGGGGCAGGCAGCTCCAGGCCTGAAAAAAGGAGCGGTCCCCTGAATTGCATCCCTGCAGCCACCGGCCTACATCAGAAACCAGGATGAGCGGGGCAGAGACAGGAGCTGGGCCGTGCAGAAGAAAGCTCTTCTGCAAGCCCACATCCATCTTCACTGATAACGGAGGGAAGACAGATAAATTGCAGCCTGAAAGTCAATTCTTCTTCAGCCGGCAGCTCTTCCCTCCCGAGTCAGTGCCGGCAAGAGAGGTCTCCCAGGAAAATGGGTGCTGGTGACGGGGGAAAAAGTGTCACCCGGCTGCTACCCGATGTGTGGCTGAAGGGGAGGGAGGTTATGATGCCCCAGCACATCCAGTCTGGCACCGCTGATGCTGCCCCTTCCCCTCCCAGGGGAAGACCCACTGCCAGTGCAGATCTTAGCTACCCAGGGAAGTCATCCTAAAAGCAGACTTTCATAGTTTCATAGTTTCTAGGGTCGGAAGGGACCTGAGCAGATCACCTAGTCCGACCCCCTGCCATGGCTTTCAATGGGCAGTTCGCTAAAAACACCAGCTCAGGGCTCGGCAGCCATCAAAAAAGCAAATGCAATGTTCAGGATGATGAAGAAGGGAATTGTGAACAACACTGAAAGCATTGCAATGCCCCTTCATACATCCATGGTGCGTGCATTCAAGCCTTGAATACGGTGCCCAGTTCTGGTCCCCACGCCTCAAAGTAGATACAGAAGAACAGGAGAAGGTCCAGAGAAGGGCAAGAAGGATGGTCAGGGGCATGGAGGGGTTTCCATGTGACAGGAGACTGAACAGGAGGCCTGTTCAGTTTAGAAAAGAGCTGCTTGAGGTGTGTAGGAGAAGGGTTTGCAAGGCACTGAAGAGAGAAGAGAAAGTCAACAGGGATTTATTATCGACTGTGTCTCTCATCAGACAAGAAACCAAGGAGTTGCAACATGAAACGAGCAGGCAAGATGGACCCGTGTCTGATCCAGGACACAGTAGCTCTTATGTTTTTCATGGTTTTGCTGCCCCTGGCAGTGCTACATTAGGATGATGGCATGCTCCAGGGCTGCCCGCTGCAAAGCCCATCACATCTGCAGAGAAGACCCGGGTAGACCAAGCCTTGGCTGGGATGATGGAGTTGAGGCTGGTCCTTGGAGCAGGGGGTTGGACTAGATGTGACCTTCTGAGCTCCCTTCCACCCTCATTTTCTGCGACCAGCATCACAGTCGTGACCAAGTAGGACGAACTAGTACGCTGCAAAGCGGCTGAGCTGCAGGGTGGCCAGGCTACCCACCGCAGGACTGCAGGTTGTAGCTGGGTTGGTCTTTTCTACCTTGGACAACACAGAGCAGCAGCAGTCTCCCGCTGCCTGAAGAAGGGTGTTTGTGCCCAAAAGCTTGCAAAGACCTTTTTTCCAACTATTTAGTTGTTCTAGTAAAAGATATTGCATCTAACCGGGCTACCCACTGGATGGCCTGGGCCAGACTTCACAGTCACGAGTCTGTC